TACTAACAACTGGGCATTGTCCTCTTTGTGTAGCTATAAGGGCTGTTGTATGGTAAAGCAATTAATAATCTGCCTTTTGATATTTTCTCTTTGCTCTAGGTAGCAAAAATTGTTTTCTCTCTTTTTCAGTTCCACCTGTAAAGGAAATATACTAAAAATTAGTTCTACTAGGTAACTCTATGATTCCTACACTGTAAAAAAATTTATTTGGAACTTGTAAAATCTAGCATAATGTTTTACTACAGAACTAAGGTGGTATCATTGGATCTAATGTGGCTACCATTTATTTCTCTTCAGAGAAGCAGACTCATTTCTTGTTCTTGGTGAAATATGCCTTAAATTCTGAATGTGCTGTGCTGTGTTGCATTCATCGTGACATAGCTACAGGGAATGAAAATGAAAACAACCAATTTTCTTAATTAAAGAGTTCTAGTAAGACAAGCATTGCTCTATTCACCACTTTTCATTTGTCTTGGCAAATAGTAACAACAACAATAATAATAGTTTGAATTTAAACAGTTGCTTTCTTCCAAGAAGTTCAAAGCTCTGATGTATCATGAGAACAGACAGACAGGTAGTAGTAAACTTGGAAAGGAGAAATAAATGTTATGTGTGCCATATTAAAATACAAAAACAAAACCACAATTTATTTGATGAATATTTTTTCTTCAGATAGATGCAGTGTGGTATAAGAAAGAAAAAGAAAAACACACAGAACTTAAATGTAGATGTGTGTGAACCTCGGCCCTGCCACAGACTAGCTGGGGGTCCACCCTTAAACAACTTTCAGCCTTGCTAAATCTCAGGATTCTCACCTATAACAGAGAAATAGTGAATATCTGTCTCATATGATTATCATTATGATAAAGTAAGTTATGTAAGGCACTTAATAGGCCACCAAGTCTCATAGCACAAATGTTAAACTATTGTTTTCTTACAATGCAAGTAGAAAAACTTTCAAGCAAGCTAACTTGCATAGATGCATGTCATCCCATCATTCTCCACAACCCATCCTCAGTTTTTATTCTCCAATTCTTGCACTGGTACCTGGAATGTTCATCAATCTTTATTGAATTGGGATGAATTAAATTATATTAAATTTATATTCTTTATACAGATTTATAAAAACAACAGATATGGCAATGTGATGTCCCATACCTTTTAATTCTAAGAGATCAGCTTTATAACCCACATGAACAGAGGCAACTCCAAATTGACTTAAGAATAAGGATTCAGGAGGCTAAAGATTCTTCAAAAGTCTTCAGAATTCAATAGAACACTTGCTTTTAAATTCAATTAATTGAGAATCTTTAATGTTTTTAAGATGTATTTTAATCATTCAATAAAAAATAGGAATTTCAAAATAAACAGAAGTTGGCAATTATTTTCCCAACTCCCAAATAATTTTAGGCTATTAAACTCTCATCTCTTTAGGGAAAAAAATAGTTTTGCAATAGGATTTCAACAAGGGAAAATAATCACCTGTAAGTGTACATCATATTACCACTAAAAAGGGTTTCCACATCTCTTTTGTTTTGTTTGAAACTAAACCTTGCTCTATCACCTAGGCTGGAGTGGTGCCGTGGCGCAATCTCAGCTCACTGCAACCTCTGCCTCCCAGGTTCAAGCGATTCTTGTGCCTCAGCCTCCCAAGTAGCTGGGATTATAGGCACCTGCCACCAAACCTGGCTAATTTTTGTATTTTTAGTAGACACATTTTAGTTTCACCATGTTGGCCAGGCTGGTCCTGAATTCCCGACCTAAGGTGATCCGCCCGCCCTGGCCTCCCAAAGTTCTGGGATTACAGATGTAAGCCACCATACTGGCCTTCCACATCTCTTATCTAATTTGATCTTCACAGTAGTGTCCCATTCTACAGATGATGAGACTGAGTCCTAGACCAATTATGTGACTCGATCATAAGCAATGAGGTTAGGGCTAAAAACACAGTTCTTAATTGCTTTAAAATGACAATAACTCCAGGAATAGAAAAGTACCATGAAAGTACCCTCAGCTTTAAGCATTAGACAGATAAATAAATGATTAGTTTGGCTGACTATATGAACAAAGGAAGAGTGGCTTCACCAACACTGCCAACAAACACTGAATAGCACAGCCAGCCTTTTGAACTTGGTCTATTCAGTACCTCAGACAAAGTCTGCATGTAGGTTTAATGGTTATGGGTTGGTGGCGGAGGTTGATTGGGTTTTTTGGTTTGGTTTGGTTTTGATTTTGTTTTGTGGATTTCATTTTTCTTCCCTAAAATTGAACTAACAATTATTTGACTAACTGACCAAATGAGCTAGCTGTTTTGGCATCAAAAAGACATAACCTAAAAACAGAAAAGGAAAGAAAGAAATAGAATAAGAAATAATGGGGTTAAGATGAAAATATAATAATGGACATTAAAATGAGATAGCAAAAAAGAAACAATAAAGGAAATAAAGCACATAGATGTTGCCCCTCCTAGAAAGCTGAAAAAAAGATACTTTTTAAAGTATTTAATCACTTTTATACTTTTTGCTTAATTGTTTTTGTTTCTTTGGGGAGGGGAAGCAATAATAAAATGGAAAAAAAATTTTAAATAATCACCCAGATGTTGATATAAAATGTATTATTTATTTTATATTTAAACATTTCTAAATGACTTTAGGATATATTACATATACTCTTTCCAAGTCCTTGATGAAAAGAGTAACTGCTTTGTGATTTATCTTTGTGTAAGTACAGTCTTCCACATAGCAGTTTTGTTTAGAATAAAATTCAGGCTGGTAGCAAATCTCTCCTGGGCTTCCCTCTGGCTCCTAGCATATTTCTCTGTGCAATGTCACACAAAGAGCTAGGCTGGAATAAGCGGCTCTCTCTTTCAAAGAAGCACTTATAAAAGTATACATAAAACATGGACTATCATGACTATCATCAGCCTTCCTACAAAAGATGCAAAACTTCCTTACAGAAAAAGCTAGCACACATTCAGAGCTTTCTATTAGTCAGATACAATGCAAAGTCCTGAATATAATTTTTATTTTTATATAACCTTACAACAACCTCTGTGACTAGGTATTCATGTTCTCACTTGACAGTGCAGGAAATTGAAACTAAAAGAAGTTCAGTAAGCAGCCTGTAATCAGCACACAAATGTTGGAATTGGGATATAAACCCAAGTATTCCAAGTTCCAAAGCCATTTTGGATGTGGCCACTGCTTTAGAAGCAAAGAGCATGGTCATGCCACTGTCATCGGCAGGCACACCACCAGGGCCAAAGTCCAACAATCGCAGATGTCAGTTTTCACGAAATTGGACTTGATCCTAGGAGAGAGCTTGGTGAGTTCCGAGGAATGGCGGATTGGCATGTACTTCAGACTAGTCATCTACTTTGTAATCTCTCTCCCAGCCTCATTTTAATGTCACTCCCTTCTCTATTTCTGCCTTTAGTTTTTATACTGAGAGGCTAAACCAAAATATACTGTATTGTTTTGCAGGGAGACAGTGTGGGAAGGCAGTAAGAACGTGCACTCACTCTGTGGAAAGTAGTAAGAATAACAATAGTAACCAGGTGTGAGGCACTGTGCCGGGGCGTCATTGATGCATTCTCTTCTAATCTTCAGCCATTCTACGTTGTAGTTATCATCTCCTCACATAACAGATTAGGAACTTGAGCTCGGAGGAACTTCCGGAGTTTGGCTCCAGGCTCCTCCACTCACTCCCCGAATGACCTTGAGTAGTTTGGTCAAGCTACTCAACCTCCTAAAGCTTCAGTTTATCATCTCTACCAAACTCATGGAACTATTACAAATATAGAGAGTAATCTTGACACACAAAGGCTGTTTGTCTTACTCCGTTCAATATATCTTTTCGACATCTAACAGAGTGCCTTAAAGTAGTAGTGAGGTAGGAGTCCAGCAGGACCTTTTTCCCGGTCCAGACAGGATGAAGTGGAAAAAACAGCCAGAACCAGCAGGTGGCGCTGAAAGCGATGGCTAGTTGCCCTCATTGCTCATTAGCATAATATATTCCCACCAGTGCCATGACAGTTTACAAATGCCATGGTAATGACCCGAAGGTTACCTCCTGTTTCCATGACAATGACTTGAAAGTTACCACTCCTCTTCTAGAAAGTTTTGCATAAACGACTCCTTGATTTGCATGTAATTAAAAATGAGTATAAATCCAGCTAGCCAATAGCACGAATGCTAACTCTGGCCACAAGGCCTTGAGTTAGCCATTATCCACAAAGAGCAACTCTAATTCAATATGAGATTGCTGTCTAACACCACTGGCTTGCCCTTCGGTTCCTTCCTGGGCAAGCCAAGAACCCTCCACAGCTAAGCCCCAGTATTGGAGCTCACTTGCCTGTCTGCATCAGCAAAATTTGGTTATGATTTAATTTGGTGTTTATCTAGAGATTAGTTGATAGAAAGATGGAATGGTGCTGAAAGGATGATATGAAATGAGCATTTGTGGATTAAATTCTCAGGAAGCAGGAGAGCCTGTCAGGCCTGTTGAAGAAGGAGCCCTGTGAACTGTGGCACTCATCTTCTCTGCCTTCAGCCTGCTTTTCTGAGATCTGAATTTAACTGCAGGTTGTTGGAGATAGGAGAGAGGATGGTGGAAGAGCTCCTCCCCCACTGACTTCCCTCAGTTGGCTAAAGTGTAAAACTCCTCCATGGTATGGCCCCATTATGCTTTCTCCACATCATGTAGTAACATGACCTGCAAAACCTGATATGTTGTCCATTCCAGACCAATAGCTTTCTATGCCTCAAACCCGCCTCGATCTTTCAAAGCTCTGTTGATTTCACTCCCTCACTTAGAATGCCCTTTCACCATTTCTTCCTGTCAAACTTCCAGATCCTCCTGGAAGAACTCAAATGGCATTTCTTTTCAGGACCTTCTTGGATTTTAGCACAGTTAACTAGATCAACCCAGCACAGTCTACATGGTATCACACTAGATATAAATGTATGCCTCATACAACACACTCAAGGAAGTAACTTCACCTTATTCCTCTCTGTATCCACAGCAGATGCCCCAGAGTCTGGCCCAGGGTACTTCTTGTAGAGCTGGAAAAATAAAATAAAATGGGGTGTGATCAGAGCTCCCTTATCCTTGACCTCTGCAGTAGACCATAAATCAAGTGTATGTTCCCCAGCAGACTGCCTTTATCCTCGTCTCCCTTTCAATCTCTGCTTTAAGTATTAACAAACTCAACACGGCTGTGGTTTGCCTTCCACAGCAATGGAAACTAGATTGGGTTAGAATTGTTTTAATTGTGAAAATAGGAAGACTACTGGTGAGTCATCCTCCTTAGTCACCTTGGGGCCAAGTTTAGGACAAACCAAGAGGGAACTCAGACCTTAACCACAACTGAAATGGAAAATGTCCACTGGCTCTCACTGCCACCAGCCTTTACCATGATTCTTGGACTGGGTTTCATAGGAAGTGTTGTAGAGCTGTCTTCCATTGGCACCAAGGTGGAGCACGGGTGGGATGTGCCACAGTGACGAAAAGGCAAGCAGTGATGGTGCAACACAAGGCCCTGGAGTCACAGCCCTATTGTCAGCTGTCTTTTCCTGGTGTTTCTGTGGCCTGTTTCTAAAGGGTCCAAATGCTTAGAAGGCAGAGTTTTAACCACCAACATTATTGTGTACACATATCTGTCCCCTTTCTCCCTGCAACAAGAGCAGAGAAACTCTAAAATTAAGACAAAGGAATTGGTACACTCTCATAAGTCAACATGTATTTATTGAGGGCCTATTATGAGCTAGGAGTTAGGCATAAAGGATACCATGGTAAGCAAATATATCCACAACCCCTATCATCATGGCAAATAACATTGGCATGAGTAGCACGAGCCCTGGAACCAAATTGCCCGTCTGATCTGATTATCAACTCTGCCATCTGTAAGCCACATAACCTTGAATAAATGGATTAACCTCTCTATGCTTCAGTTTCCTCATCTGTAAAATGGGAAGGATAATAATCAATTTCTACCGTTTGGAGTTATTATAAAAGTTAAATAACAAATGCAAAGCTCCTGAAAAATAGTAAACTCTCAGTAAATTTTAGTCATTTGCATTTTAGTGAAGGACGCAAACATTAACCAAAATGACATTGAAAGAAACCAACATGATTATAAGTGAGCTACGAGTGGTATGATAGTAAAGGTGAACACTAGGCATGCGTATATTAGACTGGTAATCAAAGAAGGCTTCCCTGGGGAAGTATATTGAAAAGGCGGGGTAGGAGTTGTTTAAGGCAGAAGCTCTATAGTGAAGAATACAGAGCACATTCCAGAAACTGGAAAAGCAGTGGAGCATCTCCCACACAATGGGCACCTGCTCCAACATGACATGAACAGATGAGCTCACATTGGATGGAAAGAGCACCCACACAGCACACTCAGAGGGAGTCTGCAAAGGATGCACAGTTGGCCCAGGTGCAGGTCTCCATGCTCCTCTACAACACTGGGCCCAATTTTCCACCCTGGACTCTGAGTGGTTTGGAATTATCACTGGAACCTTTGCACAAAAACTGTCTGCTATTTTACTGTATTAGAGTATCTGTATGTGTTTCACAGAGTAAGAGAAAGGCAGGCACCTGAGTAAGGAGGAAATAGTCTGATCTCACTTTCCCTGCCCATAACTGGCCACTCCTTGCCAATGGCCATCACTTTCCCTATGGGCCCCTGGGGGAGAGACTCACTCACAGACTACTCTACTCCAGTGTGTTATAGGACTTGAGGAGGCCATTTTCCCCTTTGAGAACGAGTTTTGGGGCCTGGCCCAGTAACTCATACCCATAATCCCAGCACTTTGGGAGGCTAAGGCAGGAGGATTGCTTGAGGCCAGGAGTTCAAGACCAGCCTGGGCAATATAGTGTGGCCCTGTATTTACTAAAAATAAATTTTAAAAAACAGCCAGACATGATGGCACATGGCTATAGTACCAGATACTCCTGAGGGTGAGGCGGGAGGATGGCTTGAACCCAGAAATGGTGACTGTAGTGAGCTGTGATTGCACCACTGCACCCCAGCCTGGCTGACAGAGAAAGACCCTGTCTCAAAAAAGGAAACAAAAATAATAAAAAATAAAAGAATTGAATCAGGTAAAGTCAAAGACCTTGTGTAAAGCCCCAGTTCCATTCACTATTCGTGACATGGCCCACTGTCCCATTTTCCTACCTTTTCTGTTTTATATTCACAGATCACCAGATGTGGAAACACCTTCATTTTACTTAGTGGATATGAGGTGAATAATGTGCCCAGATTGGAAGAGGGAGAGGAGGAGAGACAGTTTGGGCTCCTAATCAGGACGGATCAGCTGAGGCCCTGTGCAAAATTAAAATGCAAGATCCCTTTCTTAAAAAGTCAAGAATTTCAAGATGGCAAAAACACAGCACTCAGTCAAACTCAGGGCCCTCTGAGCACAGGCTCAGTGCAACGGCAGGGCCACACACCCATGCAGCCTCCTGGCTCTGGATCTAATGCCCTTTCCTCTGTTACCTGCCGACTTCTCCTTTCTCCTTGTTGCCATTCCCAACTCCATAAATTCTAAGTAACAACAACAAAAAAATGCTATATTTAAGCTTGAAAGACTGATTGGATTTATGAGAGAAAACTATGCAATCTCTGGGAAAAAAATGAAAAAGAATTGAAGAACATTATCTCTTTTAATTTATTTTTTTTTTCTTTTTACCCTCTTCAGAGTTCTCTTTACTTCCAAGAAACGGCCATGTGAGCAGAAAAAAAGGCCAGTACACAAAATTCAGTAGGTTGGAGATTTGGGAATAAATCACAAATTGAATTTTCTAAATAAAAGTCAGCATGCCCCTATGTGAACAATAGAGAATACCCTGGGCCGCAGTGAACAGCTCTGGACAGTTCCTATTTCTGGATTCCTGAGTGGGTTACTAATAAAGACCATCCACATTCAACAAGACAAAGTGAGATGGGGTCAATACAAAGCCCTGCCCATTGGGTGGGTCACAGCCCTGATGGACCCAGCTGAGCTGGAAAAGGCCAGGTTGAGAGGGGCCGGTTGACATGATGTTTGTCACAGGGCAAAGGTCTCACAGGCCTGGCAAATAAAGTTAAAGGTACCACAGCTGGCTATATCAACAAAGGTATAAAGGCCAGGGCATGGAAGGTGAAATTCTGTTCTATGTGAGCATTAAGAATGCGGAGCTGTGGGTAGGATGTTCTGTGCTTTAAGTCCTTCACCATAAGTGGGAAGGGATAAGAACATGGAGAAGTGTTGCAGGTCAGGATGGAGGAAGACCTCAAAATGGCACCATCCATGGAAGATGCTCTTCATCTGAAGAAGAGCAATCTCAAGGAAGTCCTGGGTGGCTTTGAAAGGCTGTCAGAAGGAAGCTGGATTCAGCATATTCAGTGTAGCTTGGGAAATCAAGAGATGTGGGTGGGTGAGTGGGACACATAGGAAGACAGGATGGGGACCTGTTTCTGGAAGTGGACAAAATGGGCACCTGTCCACGCGGTATCAAATGCAGAGTTCTGCTGGACAGGAATCCCGGGTCCTCTTCCAAGTCTATGAACTCCTGGGAATCAAACACAAGAAAAGACAGGGGATGTCTTGAGTCTTGAGGTGACCTAGTTCACAATCAAAAGCAACATATTTTAAAGATTTTATAGTATCAAGGATGATAAGGGGGAGGGGAGCACAACATCAAGAAAGGGTTAACTGGAAGAACACAGGTTGGACACTGCACAGATTGAGAGGAGAGGTGCCCAGACACTGCTGCAGGCACACGATAGGTACTTGCTAGGATCAGGGCCAGGACAGATTGTTGGCTTAACACCGAGTCATCCTCAGGTTACCTAAGGCCGGCCTGGAATGAGGGAGTGGTGGCTGTTCTCCAAAGACATTTGTGTTGACCAGTCTTGAGCACAGATACGCATCAGCAGCATCTTTTGGCTGTGATAAGAGAGAAATTTTTAAGAAGCTGTCTGTGTGTGTGCATGTTTTTTTGTTTTGGTTTGGTTTTTTGCAAAACCTGGGTCCTGTTGCCTTTTACAATCACATAGTGCCTTTGTCAAGCCAGTCTGATTCCTTGTTTGTTTTCTTTGGATTACTCCACCCTGCTGTGGGAAAATTAACTCTTTGGCATGCCCACACGTATACATCCATGTAGACATCCACCCCCAGCAATGCATCCTCAGGAGCCCCACCAAGGCTACCAGGTTAAAGGAAGAGCTTAAAGTCCAATTAAAGTCTAATGAGCTCTGCTAATTGAGATTATTCTTGCAAATTGGTTAAAATTCTAATGAGTTGGCCTTAAATGGAACCTCCGGTGGATGTTTACTCTGGCTCTGCCCCAGCAAATTTGTAAGACAAGTGCAATATCCCTGTCCTCGCCAGCCTCAGTGAGAATGGGGGATAACATTACTGAATGTCAGATAGTCACAAGCATTAATCATCATCTTAGACTGCTAAAATGCTGTCAGCTACTGATACAAAAACTGATATTGAACACAATGGGTGTTTTCTAGGAAAGATACATCTGCCATCTGCTAGGCACTGAGCTAGGGGCTTTTGGAACTCGGAGCACACTCAGATAGACACTTGCCTGATTTGATCAGAATTCCCAAAGCAATCCTGTGTTGGGGAAAAGGGAGTCAAGAAAGAGGGATACCAGTGGGGAGGGAGGAAGAGTTAGCCAACTGTTCTTTCTGTTCCAGATATCAACATCCTTACAGCAAGATTTGGAGTTCATTCACTTTAGATTGCTAGCTACAGTAATACAGAGGATTTACAGATAGAGATTATAAAATGAGTTACATAAATTAAATATGTGCATGTACATTTTAATCTAGCAGTAGTCTCCAGTGAAAGAAACAAAAGAGCCTCGTTGAATCATGGCCTTCGGAGTCCCAGACAAGGAATGAGTTAAGTACTCACTGCTCTATCCCCTAAGTCTACAGGAGACACAAGACATCAAGCATCACATGATGCTTCTTTTGAAGGCTCTCTCACTCAGATTGAGAGGAGAAAAAAAGCACCAGGGAATGAAGACAACTTTCTCCACAGGAATACATCACTCTCCTGGGGGTTCAGCCTCC